ATAAAGTATTTTTTTCTACCGCAAAAAATGGCTTTTGTGCCCTAAAAAAGCCAACCTTGAAACTGTTAAGTTAACTTTCATTGTAATAAAAAGCAAAAACATAAGGTCAAAAGACCTGCAACTATAATGGCAAATCTACCATTATATGGCACATAATACTACAAAGGCATAAATTACTGGCCTTTAAAAAAAAAAATCATCTGAAGATAAAAGTACAGGCAAACATTTAACACAGGAAACGAGAATTTCAGTCTTCTTAATGACATCCAAACTATCCCTTTTATTCAAAGAAAATATGAACTCTTATATATTTCTTAGAATAAACGTATTGTGTCATAGATCCGCTGCTTGTCTACTATCTTATGGCTATATTAAATTCAATGTATCACATTGTTTATGACTGGATAATCTAAAATGCAGAAGTCTTCACATCACATGGAGTTATCCTTCTAATGCTAATACTGAAGAAGTTACAGGCCTGTACAGGAATTATTGATGAAGTTATTTTAAATAAGTTACTGAGGACGTCAACCTGGATTACAATAAAGGACGTCAACCTGGATTACAATTTATACTTATATCTTTTAATCCCAAGAGAAATCACAATTTACCTAAACTCAATTAGATCAATTCCATATTGCTGAGTTCAATTCAATTCAAAAAGTATAGTGCTTAAAAGAGTGGAAATATTTTCATTCATAATGAATGAATGTTTAATAGTGTTATAATAGTTATTTCCAACCCTTGGAATTGACGATTAATCTTCTCTCAACACTTTAAACCAAGTAGTCTGAAGAAAACAACCACCTAAGAAGAAAAAGGTGACCTACAGTTAAAAAAAAAAATTACAAACAGCTTTGGAGAAAACATTTCACTCCTGAGGGGAAGAATACTTTTTATCCTATGTCATCGCAAAATGATTCAACAAGCACTACCTGACTTTCCAAGAACATCTGTCCTGTAACAGAAGCAGCAACACGTTCCTGCTGCTGCTTTTGAGCCTGAAGCATATTTTGTTCAGCAGAAAGATCACTTTCCAGTTCTTCCAGTTCCTCCTGAATAACAGAAGATGATCTTGGTCATTACAACAATTTAGTGCTTTACTTAACTTAAATACACTTAGGTGTCCACTTATATTTATTCTAAGAATACACGCTCCATTAATTCACACCTGTACAGTGCCATAGTTTCCCTAGTGCAGTAAATTGTAAGACCATAACTAGGTCTATGCATCAGAGTGCTAAAACCTTACAATTTCTCTACAATTTCAGTGGAGACTACGGCTAACTCTCATCTTTAAAAATAAAATAAATAATTTCCCATATAATTCAAATAAACAAACGCACGAGAAAGTGATAAAAATAGCATACAGCTATTGTAAGCAGTTGTTTGATAGTTTTCCTTAAAAATATGTATTTAGCTACAAAGCACTTCATGACTAACTTAAAGCAAATAACAAGGAGTTACCAAACTGATGTCTTGCCAGTCATCCCCTGCGTCTTTACCATCATTTTCACTTTCAACATTCTGACGGTTTGCCAAGTGCACTTCATCAGATTCCTTTATCTCATCTTGGGAGACAATATGATGTCTGTCTTCCTCCATTTCTTTAAGTGCTGTTTTATCACCCAGTTTCTCATCATACTCAGTAGGAAACTCAGGCTCATTACTGACTGCAGAGTCCACTTCAATAAAGCTTCCTATAAAAGAAAAATAAAGAGTTCAGCTTCTTGCTATTAGTTTAAAAAGAAATGTTTGAATCTTCTTGCGCTGAGATGTTTTTTCACCCACAACAGATGCTATATGCAGTAAATAGACATAAGGACGGTGAAACTACAGAAATCATGTGGCTGGCTATTAATACACCAGTTAATGAAGTTCAACCTACAGAACAGCATGCTTTCCAGCTTCTCCATTTTATATACTCATATTTCAGGATTACAGAATAACACCAAAGGAAAAAAGTACAGTTCAGATTTTCTCATCTCCAATATAAATTTTAAAGCATTTTTTATTATGAGAAACTTCAACTGACTGCAAACATAATAATGCCTTATTTCCTTACAGAACTGTTCATCACAAAAGTCTTTTAAGCCTGGCTTAAAAGGTCAAGAATGATCATAAACACAATATGCAATTAAAACGTACATACCATCAGAATCACTGTCTTCAGATTGCGTTATCCCTTCTACTCTTTCCTCATTAGGACCTTCTGCTTCTGGAGAAAGGCTAAGTTCCTTTTGTACCTCAGATACATTATTTTCTGTGTTTGAAATGACTTCTTCTATGTCTTTATAAATTTTAAGATTTTCCTCATTTTTAGAAAGGCTTGTTGTTTCAGTCTGAATCAAAGCTTGCATACTTGCGTGTGCAGGGGAACAGCTTGAGTTCTGCATGCACGTGTTTATATTCTTTACATTCTTATCTTCCAAAGAACTTAAGTCCATTTTGGAACCATTTTCTTCTTTGTCTATATCATTTTTTCCTTTTCTAGTACCATCAACAGAAGAATAATGTTCAATTCTGGACATACTGATGTCCTTGGGTGCAACATAAACCTTCTCCAATTTGTGATTCTCCTGGCCAAATTCAATATCTTGCGTAATCACTCCATTTGATGAATGAATTGTAGATGTAGGTAATTTTTTTCCCTCCGTAACAGTAGGAATCTGATCATCCTCATCTGAACTACTAAGGAGAAAATCCTTCACTTCTGAACTTTCTGCTATCACTCCATCAGTTCTAGAGGTAACAACTTCCTCCCTTTTATCGTCATCTCTCAGAGCTTGCTGAATTGCCTGTAGAGTTCTTGGCGATACACTGCCTTCCTCTAATCTAGGTTGGTCCACATTCAATCGTCCTTTATCTTCATCCCCCAGCTCTTCTTCCGAGCTGCTTTCTGTCATAGCTGCCTGAATAGCAAGCAAAGTCTGGGGAGATGGTGGTGCTGTAACCACGTTGCTATCTTTTTCTGTCTGCAGCTTCTCAGACTCAACTATGTTTGCATTAGCAGGAGACTCATTAAATATTTTAACAGATTTAGTAAACTCTAGCCTTTTTGAGGAATGTCCCGCACTAGTTTCCACATCTCTATCAGTAGCTTCTTTTGTTTGAATACCTGAAAAAAAAGGGTTTTTTTTTAAATTTTTTAACACATTACTGATTTATGCTAATATTCTTTTTACATAATGAGAATTAAAATCGTAATTTAAAGATCAATACACCAATTTTCTACATGTTTATTATCACAGTTAGTTACATCTAACCATTACTGCATATTCCATATAATCATCAGGTACATGCATCTCTAAATAACACTCAGATTCTTCCTAAAACTTGCAGCTGCAGACTGCACACACCCAACAAGAAGTTTTATGAAATGAAGAACTGGCATACCTTTTATTAGGATATAGTGAGAAGTATCTTCAGAGACTACCCTCTTAGATTCCACTTCTTTCACAAAACCACCTTCATTTTCATATTGTGTCTGGATTTGACCCGAGTGCTGTTGATTCAATTCTTTTTCTACATTTTCTATGCATCGATTGAGGTTGCTTTTCTTAAGCAAACCCCTAAGCTGATACTGGGAAAAGTCATCAGACTCCTTTAAAAAAAAAAAAAAAAAGGAAAGAAAAGAAAAGCAAAGAAAAGAAAAGAAAAAGAAATGAATTCAAATCAATTTAAATAAAATGGCACTAACTGCATTTTTTAAGCAAGTTCCAAGTGACGGTGATATTAACACGTTAATATGCAACAGAACTTTAACCAGCATTCAGAATTATGTAGTGATACCTTTTAAACACAGGGAGATCTAAATAATATGACTAACAAAAATCAGCTGGCTAACAGAGCTGGATCCCATCTCAAATACAATTCAATTACAACAGAAGCCACATGTGGGCAGTTTTAACATGTTGCCCATCACAAAATGGTTCTTAGCTTACACTTTGATACAAGCTATCAACTGATCTGAGGTATACTGTACTTTAAAAATCTCACTGTGCCCTGTAAAACTATTATAAAAGTGGCAGCGTAGGGTTCCCTGTTTGTCTCTGAACGGCTGCGGTGTCACATTTGCTTAGTTTCCAAAAATAAAGACGTTTTCCCAGCTACCAGCTCCCCTAACAAACTAAGAGTTTGGAAGTCAAGCTGCGCTCTTTCTGCATGATTTATCCATACCAGTAATATGTTTTCGCAATTGAAATGTTGGACATAATGCTGATGAGGCATGAAACACAGCATGATTTTTCCATACTCGCCAAAAAGATTACCTCTGCCAATTTTAGTAGAAATCAGGAGATAGGACTCTGCATACACCCATGGGAAAGAGGGAAGCTTCCGTGCCCTCCTCCTCAAAATATGAAAATTTCTTGCCAGAAATTCCCAAACATCTCTTGTAAAATAGGTCTGAGATTAAAACTTTCCAGATGCAATATTCTTATGTAGTCTTCACGTGCATTAATGACAGTAACTCCACTGTAATGGCCTGAAATTCTTTTAAACTTTACCTCTGGCATTACTTCAAACAATGTTCTTTTTCGCTTTGTAAATTCTTTCATATCAGTCAAGATTTCATGTTTTACTTCTGGAGGAAGACTGTTGAAGTCTTCTGATTCAATATCTACAGAATGAGGATTTTCAAGTAACTCTTCCTATAAAAACGAACAACAACATCCATAAACACTTATTTTGTATTACAGACCAACAACAAAAATGAAAATATGTAAGGTATCACTCCAAATCTAAAGGAAAGAAAAAACAACCTTGTTGCTACTCCCTACACTGTGAAGAAAAAAGTAACTATTACCTAATTAAATTATTGAATCGACATAATTATTGAGATACACTATATAAATAAACTACTCCTTAAAAACTTGCAGGTTTTTATACAACATATTTAGTACAAGTCACAGAAGCAGCTCCGACTGCCTAAGCAATTCTAACTTTCATCCTTCCAAAGACTTTCTCTTTCTGAACACAGACTACTTCAAACAGTAAGAACATTTCCAAGAATTTTTTCTTTATTTACTTTGATGACTCCCTGAAAGCAAAAACAACTTTACTCTTCACAAACAGATTCTGCTTACATGAATTATTTTCTCCTCTTCCCACGAGATCAGTGTATCAAAAGGAAATACAGAATTTATATATGAAAAAAAGAATTGAAGTGTTGTGACATCAATTTGTATTTTGAAGAGCATTAGCTCTGTCAAATATACTGTCTTATTTTTGCATACATATGTGCATTTTATTATCTTTTACCATTGCAAAAAACAATGTTTGTTTTCTTCACCTATCCAGAGAAAACAGCCAGGAAAAAAATAACTCCAGGGTATTCCTACTCTGCTGTACTCCAGTAAAGAAAATTATATTTGTGTTTTACGATTAGTAAGAATTCGTAGAATTCTTAAGATTATTTGCTTGACAAGTAATGCTTATACATTAATAATTATACCTCCAAACACTATTTGAAAAAATTTTTTCAAAGCATAGCACATGAATAACAGGATATTTCAAAATAACAGGGCAACTAGCAGCATTTACCTGCAATATCTTCTTTTGACTCATTCTCACTTGCCATTCTTTTTCATCTTCCTCTTCTGAGCTAAAAATCACAAAGAGAAAAAAGATCCAGATTCTCTCTCTCTTTCTCTCTCAAAAAGCTATGAGCAGAAAGTGACAAAGCAGACTGCTCAGTTAAATCTAGACTGAGACAACTGTTGCTGTCTCAAAGCATTACTTAATACTTGGTCGGCATTTAAACTATGTTTTAGGGCAGATCTATCAACAATGAAAACGTGCAAAGACTATTACAAAGGCTAGCTCCATGTTCCCACTTAGTCTTACGTGGGAAGATGACACAAATTTGACAAGCGCACATAAAGTCTACCTCTGCGAAACGTGTCCACACCCAAACGAAGAACCACAAACTGGAAGCAAGCTGCCACACACTTCAGTAGCTACGCAAGCTTGAACATTCAGGTTTATTTAGCTATACAGATATTGCCACAGAGAGTAAAATAGCGTGTTCATCCTGAAAGATGATTTCAGGGTAGAAATTTAATTTATAGGCTGATGTAAGAAAGCTTGTTCTGTTAGTTATTTTCCAGTGAATAACCAGAAGGCTTCTGTGTCCTATAACCCTACTTCTCCAAAAAGAAAGCGAAATAAATCATGAATTGAAGAAATACACAGCATACATTTTGGAGACACGTGATTCAAAGATATATTACCAGCTTCAAAAACAGTATTTCATATTTTTCTCTGAGTTTGTTATAGCCATTTGAGCTATTTTTCTTAATTCTACTTACCTATTCTTCTCTTCCTCCTCTAAACAAGGCAATACATATATATCATCAATTCCTTCTCTGCGAACTTGCGTAAGACTAGGCAAAGCTTCAGCGCTTAGGGAAAAAAGGTTAAAATGATTAACAGTGAAACAAAAACTTAATTGACTCTTATAAACAAGGGGAAAATAACTTTTATTCTTGCCTTTTGCCTGTTAGAGCAGTTTTGATAGCTTGTCTCTTCAAAAACGTTTTCAAGAGTTTCTCTGTAGTTTTTCTGGAATCACTGACCGCCACTTCTTTTCTTTGTCTTCGCTTAGCCTGTGAACGTAAAATTAACACAACACAATTTTACTAAAACAACATTTGCTGGATGCTGAAAGGACACATCCAGTGAATTACTCTTACAACTCTGTGTGCCGAGTTTGTGGCTGACTCCTAACTCATTCTACATCAGTGCGGGTCAGAGCCTTCTAAATCTCTCTGTCTGGTCTCTGTGGGACTCAGGACTACTTAACAGCTTCTGGGTACAAACACTTGCAAGAGTTGTGCTCAGGCTCCATTCTGAAGCAAGACCCAGACTTATGCCATCACCTACCTCTTTGCAATCTGATTTCTATGCAAAGAAAACCTCAATGTATGAATCAAAACGGAAGCAGCAGCATGCAGCAGCTGAGACTGGGATTGCCTAAAAACCTGCACAGCACTGTATTTCAAGCCATCCATTGTCATGGCTCAGAAGCATAAGCAGAATTCAAGGAATATGAAAATGGCTACTTAGCATCAACAGAAATAGCTTTGCATGGCAATATTAGAACAGGCTATAAGATAGCTCAGCAAAGTCACATACCAAGGTTTGTCTCTTCAGAAGTGGTGCCTCTCCATCAAAAACAAAGACAGGCCGAATTCGAAAAAACAGTAACTTGCAGAGTCGATGAAACAGAGTGAGGAGGTGAGCATTTTGTATAGAACTACCACGATGATCTCTGGCTCCTTTTATTGCTTGGTTCAACCAAATACTGATATCTTAAAGAACAATTAAGAAAAAAAAAAGGTGCAGCCTTACACATATATCATATTAACAGTTTCTATAGAGTTCATATATATGACTAAGTGGGTGACAAGTGTTTTAAGTTGGCATATTGAAGTTGAGGTTATCCAAGTGCTTGTGAACTTCGAAGAACAATAAATTCCTGCCCCTAGCAGCCTGAACACAGAACAGATTGAAACAAATGGACAGCAAACAGTACCTCCCCAGTTATTTAATAAATGAAGGGTAACATCTTTCTAGCATTTAACTATGCGTGCATGATAGGAAAGCAGAGGTAAAAGCATTTCAAACTTTTTCATATTCTAGTCCTACTGAGAGCAGCACAAAATGCTACAGCCTGACATTTGTATAAGAAATCTATGACAGAAGTTTCATTTTTTTCATATATATAAATACCAAGATTTTTGTTTTCCATATATTGAAACGTATAAATCTATTTATCAAAACACTGTCATGATTTAAAATTAAAAAAAATATATAGAAATAAGTGAATAGTTAAAATAACCTCCCTCTCAAATTTAGTGCATCAGCTTTACTTCTAAAGGATACCAACAGCAAGAATCTTCCCTTCTAGCATTTCTGGGTTTATAGGTCTCCCAGTGCATTCAAGCAGTTTCCAAAGTCCTTGAACTCCCATTGTCCTTTCTTAGCTCCTTTGAGAGAAGAGAATCTACAAGGAACAAGTGAAAATACAATCCAAAGACTGTACGATCCACTTTAATAACGAAAACCCAACGCATTATCACTGAAAATAGAACTAGCGAAAAAATACATCAAGGTCATCAAAACTGAAGCAGGCTTACATTAAATCACACCTACTGAAGTAGCCTGCCTGTCGCATAATTGCGAGTCAAGGCCCCTGCCCCAACTCCCTCACGTGCAAACCATGGATGTAAGATTTAACAGCAGTAATCTGCTTTGTTGTGCAACCGACAGAAAATATACTACATATGGTTAAATCTGCTCTCTGGGGAAATAAGTCAAACCTGAGCCTTTTTCACATTCCATTTAAGTCGCATAGCAGGCTTACCAAGAGAAAATAGATACCAAAAGAAACAAAGAACGTAAACTGATTTGTCTCAGATACTACCCTTGTTCAACTAGCTAACGAAATCTGTAGAACAAGAGAGTTTTCCTTTCTACCTCATGTTTAGCACTACTGCTATAAAACAGTAAGAGCTAGCCAACTAAACGTAAACGTAGACAATATTTAAGCAAATCTGGCAGAAAAGGAGAAGCACTAAAAGGGGCTGCATCTTCTTTCATGTTCTGCTGTGCAGGGCAGCCCTTTCCAGCTGAAGACCTGTCCTCACTGCAACTGGTTAGACTGGTTAGAATCTGCCGAGGATGCCGTGAGCGATGCAGCAAATGATTTCAGGGGCTTTTATTCCTTCTGATTTCAATAGCATAGCATGACAACCCTGAAAAATCCAGTCAGGTACAACATGACAGCTGCCACACGCGTGCCCACAGAGAGACGCAGGAGCTCTCCTCTCGGCAGAGACCCCCCGCGACTGCCCACCCCCGGCGGAGCGGCAGGCACAGGGACCCCCAAGCCCGTCCCTCTCAGGCC